TATAACGGTGATCTGTAAATGTAGATAGCAAATATGCTAGAGTTCTGTTATCATAACAGCAAGTAATTGTGAACAAGAGGTATATGTGTGCAGCAGTGTATTTATGAGCGGCAATCGGTGTGTTATGCTATGGGGAATTCAAAGCGAGGAAGGAAAATCCAAGGTCACGTGTTTTTAAACAACAATTGTACAATTAATGAGAGTTATTGAAAGAAATGCAAATAATAACAAAAACTAGTTACAAAATAAGTCTGTTCTAACTATCTCTACAGAATGATCAGTTAGTACAATTTCCACAGAAAACTCATAACTGAATAGAGTCCACTGGGTGCAAAATATCAATTGGTAGAAACACCTGAAATTTACATAAGGTAATTCTGAGGTTTCGAAACTCAATTTACTAACAACTAGTGTTATAAGATAGATGAGAGGGCTAACAATCTCTGGGTAGCTATTTTACTGTCAAAACCATCTGTTCTGCACGTATTTCAACGCTATGCGCGACTAATGTTTGAGAGAATCAAGCAAACAAGCATGTTGCGTCCAACTGAATAGACTGTGGAGATATGCATGGCAAGCTTATTTTGTAAATAGTTTTTGATATTATTTGTATTTATTTATAACGTTTAACTGATGTATACTAACATTACAGTTTGTAACATTAAAAAGAAGAATATATTTGTAAAATCTCAGCGAATGAATTTTAAGTAAATCCAACGTTTCGCCTGGCAATCTGGTCCAAGCTTTTTCAAGGAAAATATAATCAAACAACAAAATTATCGAATATAAATAGGTACTTAATAACTCTGTTATCATTTTTGAGTTCATATATTATTTGGTCCACCACAAGACCGCCGAGCGTCAGTATCTTGCTAGTACCTCTCACCACTCTATTTTTGAGATGACTCAATGTCATCGAACTGTTAGTGAATGGATTCACTATATTTACTGATGTCTTTCAAATACATGTCACGTTTATTTCGTTTTCTTAAAGTGCCTATAGCCAAATTTATTCATAGCTTTAGTTGTAAATTTCGCTAGAGTTTAAAATGTAAATTTTCATTAAGCATCAAAATTCAAGGTAGGTTGAGAACACAAAATTGCAATTATGAATCAGAATACAGTCTCAAATGAATCAGTTAGTCTCATTTCCAGACCTTTATGGGCTGATATAAATGTCATTTCAGTTTAGTCTTAGGTTTCAAAGGTATGATTCCAGGCAGTGTATTCGCAATGTACGTACCTGAATTTCACGTTTATTAGTAACATGTCAAGTAGATGCAAACAAAGCACAACAAGTAGGAGTTAAATTTAATTTTCCGAATTAGCTTAAAGGCAGATTAAATGAACACTACACGATCACAAATAAGTAATGATAAAACAAACAAACTCGAAATTAAGTGGTTTTTTGTCACATATCTTTTGTACCGGAGGTCATCGTTACTTAAATGTAAGTCCATGCAAATATAGAGGAAGCAATTTCAAACATTAGTCAACACGCCTCAATCTGAACATTCAAGCTTCTACGACCGTCAAAGCGTTTCCTTAGAAAATGTGATTAGAAATATCGTTCGGTTGATCATAATGCTCATCCATGATTTCACTTATATATATATACTAATTATAACAGCTGATAGTATTGCAGGTCATTAATGTGATAGAAAAACTTATATATACTCAAAATAATATTCTAATACATAAGATTGGTTTATTTCCTGAAAGCAGAAAGCTTTGAAGAGAAACAAATATGATACTATAAGATATGAATAAGGCAGTAATCTCACATAAATCTTTTCTCACTTAATACAAGTTCTGCAAATGTAAATGTGGGAGAAATAAAGAAAACAAAATGGTAGGCTTCATCATCCCACTTTTTATTTGTTAAAACTCTAATCTAAACTTAATGTTGGCAGGGGTTACATGGGTTTGTGTTGCTTTACCTTTAGCGAATGATACAGCATCCAATTCAGAAACCCTAACGACCTTACAGTGAGAGTCCTAGGCGTACTCATGTGAGACATAATGAAACCTGAACTGGTCTCAAATAAGTGTAAGTCTCAGTTTGTGTGAAAGTAGCAGGTACAATCTAGCTGACAAGTCCCGAAGCGGACGAAATGGCCTCTTGGATTCCACTGTTAGCCACATTTCTTCTTCACTACAAAGGATTATTCGACATATAAAGCTTAATAAACTCAGATCAACTCTGTTATCCTACTGTTACTTTATTGTTACGTATTGTTAATTGTTTTATGACCAGGCAACGTTTCCTGATTAGCTGATAAGTTGCCCATGGTCGTCAGTAGATTATACTTTTACTAACTATTCTTAAACAACAATTCGAAAATCACAATACGCAAACTCATGTTATTCACACACAATAGTAACTCTTAACATTGCAATGCTTTAAAAAAGAAGTATATATTTGAATAGGATGAGATTTATTAATAATATTTGATGTGTAAGTGAGGAAGATAATGATTAGTTGTTTGCTTAGTCAGACTTATAGACAGTCTGGTAGGTATCAGACGGGTTATAGATTATCTTACCCTTGTCAGTTTCTGATGTGAAAATATAATTATGTTCTAGTTAGGCTAGTCACGTATTCTTGATCTGAGTTATGTTGAATAAACAGACACTGGAAGGGTATCTAGTATAGATATTCGTCTAAGACAAATTAACGTCTCATTCGTGTAGACAGGGAAAACCGAGTGTTAAACTATTATTACATAAAATTCATTCGTATGGAAGCTACTGATGGCGGACAAAACTCATTGACTGATTATTGACCTTCAGTATCTGTAACTCACGATCTTCTGCATTCTATGCTGCATTAGTTGTCCTGTCTTTTCATGTCCGTCAATTGGGAAGAGCAGAAAAGAATATGTGTCAACAAATCGATTCTCTTATAGAGAATCTTCACTTCATTGTAATATTTAAATTTAATAAGACTAGCTATCACAAAATCCAACTGCATATAGTTCATATAATTGTGATATAGTATACTAGTTGTATTGTAGTGAACAAGAACACGGCTGGGAACAATCGAATGTACTCAACACAAAATTACAGGACTTGTTATTAAAATCTAATAATCATAAAGTAAATGCTTAGTTTACAAATGTCCATCAATTGTCTCAAAATGACTCAGGCTTCATTGTTCTTGCATTTTCATACAAATTGCATTCTGTTTCCATTCTTTATTGTTCGATCCTCTTGTCTCTTTGGTGAAAGACCTTCTGTTCACGACTAACATCATATACTACTTATCTCAATATAAGTAGCACACACCACAGTATCAATAATCTTTTGAATATTCGAGACAGCTCATCGTCACAATAGACAAAAATTATGTATACTGAACAAAAATGAAAAACAAATGACTTTCAAATGTAATCGGATATATAAACACATTCATATAGTTAAACATAACTGAAAAAAAAATAAAGCACTAAATGACTACTGAATAATCTAGTTATCAACTGTATTCCATGCTCTTAAACTCAAAGAGTTATGATTGTTTCACTGAACAAGTAATAAATCCAATAAATAAGACGGTTAAATTCAGTAAACGAAAACATATGGGTCTACGTTTCGTGTAATTTGACATTCGTCAGTGAGGTGTGAATACAATAATTAAGGGACTGAGACTTCCTATAAGATTAGAATCCATGTCACCCAACTTCAAAGTCTAATGTGATTGAAGCACGATCAGCTTAATATAAATAGTAAATTGAAAACAGAGAGCACGGAACAATAAAGTAATAATTATCAGAAGAGGGTTTTGTCGTAATTTTAGTAATTTAAAAGTTGAATTTACGGATCAATTGAAGCTAGACCATCATGAAAAACCCAAAACTACTGGAAGACTGTTTCGTTCCGGTGTGAGATTCATCAACCGTGCTCATTCACGATTCTGCTAGCGACATTCGAACCCAGGACCTACCGATCTGGTACGTGGACCACTGAGCCAGTATCCAACGGCATTAATGTCTAACTTCAACTAATCCATGAAATCGTACCATTGTCTTCAATGAATTACTATCTTACAACAAACTCTGGTTGAATTCCACTGGTCACTACAATAATTACTAAAATATGTCAACCATGACTACCATATTACATATGTCATATTGATATGATGGGAAGAAAAATCAATTTTTGATCGATTTACTCATTATGAGTTTTATTCAATATTACTTACCTTCTAATTCAATGTAATGATTACTCAATATAGTATTTGATTTGTTTTCCCAGTATGATATTTTTTCTCTAGAATATATGATATTCTTTTATTCACTTGATATGAACTATGCTCAGTAAGTGATTTGTTATAACTGAGTATGTGATTTAATTCTAATTATTAATCAAAATGGGTGTACAATCAATATATAAACCAGTGTATTTTAGACTATTTTGATCATTGTCGTCGTCATGGTGTTTGGGGCTAATAAATCATCACTTATATCAGTCTTGTGTTGTTACTTTCGCATCGTGGGAATTGCAAGGGTCCCTCGTTCCGAATATAAGTAATTCAGCACTTTTTCCGGCACAACAATTGCAACGACCAAATATAACACATATAACTCTATGATATACTGTTCATATTAAATATTATTCAAATGAGTTAGAGTTGCCAGGGGCAATGTTAACATAAATTAATAGCAGGTAACTAGTTTTACTTAATAAATTCAATAATAAGAATAATTCCATTTCTGAAACACAACCTTCCAATTTTTGGCATTGAATCCATTCTGTTTTTTTTGGGGGGGGTGAGGGTTTGAGACAGACATTAAACATTTCTATCTCAACTAATTTGTCTATTCTATAATCTTATCATCATTAAACTAACCTATCTACATTGAACTAAGCCAAAGAAACAAAAAGAAATATGATTGGTTAATAGGACTTAAGAAAATCATAATTAATGAACCAATCATAATGATGTATCATAAATAAAATCGGTTATTCGTTTATTTTTTTATTTTTTTTTTGTCTTTCTTACATTAACCATTTTGCCTATTTATTGATTCATCAAGTTTGTTTCCATACAATTGATCAAGAGACTAACAATAAAATCAATAACAACGATAAGAATAATAAAAGAGAACATTAAGAAACACTGATCTATCATTGAAATTTTCATTATTCTATTATAAAATTGATTCATTCCTGTTAACAAATTTCATTGAAATTATTGATATTTATTATTAGTAGTATTATAATTATTATGTATGAAAATCGGAGTGATTGGCTTATTAACCAATTGTTACCATCGAAACCTGATCCAAGATTATCAAATTATCCATTCATGTCAACATGGACACCAACTGCATTGATTTCATTCATTTATTGTATCATTGTATATATATGGCGTATAAAATTAATACAAAAGAAAGAATCAAATACAAATGGAAATATAATGAAAAGAATAAATAGAATACAATGGATTCAATATTATATGGCATTATATAATTTTACTATGGTTATATTTTTTATATATTTATCAATATCTAGTTTAATTGTCATATGTCAATTGAATTATGGTTTAGGTTGTATTGAATTACCAGATCCGAATGATAAACGTACAGATGATTTAGTGTATTATGGTTATTTATATTTTATTTCAAAATTTATAGAAATGTTAGATACATTATTTTTTTTATATCGTGGTAAAGTGGATCAAGTGACATTTTTACATGTATTTCATCATGCATCAATGCCACCATCAGTATGGTGGGGTTTAAAATATGCACCTGGTAAGTTCTAGTGTATTGATGTTTACGGATTGTTAAATAGGTTGTTGTTTCTTTTTTTTTTGTTTTCCTTCAACATATGCTGATAACTGTTCTGTATGTATAAATAGATTGAAAAGAAGTTTTATAAGACAACTTCTCCAAATGACATGGTATGGCCGGGGGAGGGATGGGCCCGCCCTCCCTCTCGAAATACTCTCACACGGCCACGCTTATACATCCTCTGCCAGGGAAGTCCTACTCATTGCCTTCTCGTGGCAGGGATGTTGTTTACGAAATTGAGAGGATGAAATGCGGATGTCCAACGCTTAAGCCGGATTCCAAACCAATGGTGCACATGGGCTCCAGTATCCTGAAGGAACAAATGGCGTATGGACCAATTGTTGGTCACCGGCTTCCATGGGACTGCATCTCCTTACGATGCTCCACTGCCTTGTGTGTTAGACCTTTAGGTCAAAGGCTCGGGGTGTGGCCCCCTAATAAAACAACCTGCTTCGGTTTGGGCACCCGGACAGTATCACGGCCCCCACACAAATCGGATGATTTATGTGGTGCATATCTACTTGGTGCCTCCTTGTACCAGTGTTTATGCGTTTAAATAAATAAATAAATAAATAAATAATAAAATTATAAGACAACTGGGATGTTGAATTGTTACTTTTGAAATGTCACAAGAAAGAAGATTTTGTTACTGACTAATAAATCATCCAACTAGAACTATTTATGATTGAGATCATGAATTGATTACTATTAAATCACTATCGAAACCTGAAAGTACTCGATAGCCGTTTTCGCCATAGTATGAGACTCCTCAGCAGTGCACATCCACGATCCCGCACCCCGCGAGATTCGAACCCATGACCTGCAAAGATAATTTTATCAACTCGGAATAAATTGACCGATAATGAAATCTGTTAAAATCATTAGTAAATAAATAGGATCAGATGTGACTAGCATCTTTATTCCTAATACTAATGGATAATATGGTCCGGGACGTATGTAAACTTTGCAAATTAGATAATTGAGATGTTCATCTTATAGATGAATTTTACACTAAAATAATGTTTTCTTTTTTCAATGCTTAAACATTGAACGAATGTAAACATTACAAATTCTTGAAACAACTTCACGGTTAACGTATAGTATAAGGATAAGTCAATCGTTGAAACAAGAAAACTACTATAAGGGTCTAGTTATCTCGAGATTCAGAAAATCCAATGACATTTATGTTTTATAGAATCAAGTTAACGGTGAAAAATATCTTGAGATGGTGGTATTGATGCTGATGATGTCGTTCAGTAGAACGATGAAAGCTCCAAGATTAAACCATCCAGCTTAGAGAACAAAACTCCATCAATAAGAATATCTTTGCATGATGGTTAGCAAGACGTTTCAAATTGTTAGGATCATTTCTTTTTCTTATCATAAAGACGAAACAACTGTCCAGTGCTTCTTGTTTTTCAATGGTCGTTTAACTAGTGTCAGTTTGTGGTTTCAATGAAATAGATTAGTTTATTAAAAGGTATGTAAACAAGAAATATTTGAAAATTGTATTGGTTGTAAATGTATAAACATGGGGGTTGTATCCCATTTGATCGGAATACTGATTTCCACTTATGAATATGTACACATATCCTTATTGCATGTAATCACTGAAATAGTTACGGTTGATCTGGTTAGTTTTAACGAAGAAATAAATTATGTGGGTCAGTTTACTTACGAATGTTAACATTATTAAATCGCTTATCAGTAAAAGATTAGTTTACTTGATGTTGAGTCATGTTCATTGTCAGATCTAGCTACACAACCTTAGTGCCCTTACTAAACTAGGATGAGCGGGGTTCGGACCTATGATTTAATGTCTGAAATTCAGATATTTTAAAATCGAAGTAATCAGTCAATAAACCAAGTTTGAACATGTAGTTTTAGGTTCTATTAATTAGTACCACTGAAACTTATCTGGTGATTAGATTTTAATCGATAATCTGAATTAAAATACATGCTACTTTATTAACAGTCTGAGACTGATTATTATAAGTATGTTTAGATGAATTAGACAAAAATAATAACTATATTATTCAAATGTTGATAAATTTACCTTAGAACTAAACGATTCTTTACTATTTATGATACATTGAAATAAACAGAAACTAGCCAAATGATCAGTGCATATGACTAACTAAGAAATGACTTATATTACTTAGAAATGCGACATTATTAGAGCAATAAAATCTTCCCTCCAACTATAGATTTTCTCATTCGTGTAAGCTTGAGTATCAGTATCAATGTCCAACATTCATATTATAACAGTTTATAGATATGTTAAGAATATCTATATCCAATGAAATAAAGATACATTGAGGTAAGATGTACCGAAGGTATTAAAAATATATGTGGCCAGCTCACGTCCAATTGAGTTTGTTCACACTTAATTCGGTTCAGTTCTTTTGTTAACATATTTAACGGATAAAGTCATCCGTACAATATCAAATTACTGTACGGCGAGACTATAATTTAGGGACGAACCAATCAGACTTACGATAACAGGTTTGAGATTTTAGCGCGAAATTCATCATCCATTTGGCTAAATAAATTCTTGTCATTATAGCTAATGTTAGTTCGTGATGAAAACCCTGAATCTGATTGCCGACCCTAACCATCAATTGTAAATCATAATCCTTATTCTTTAAATTGCTTTATAACCCTCATTTAGCCTGGTAAGTAGGTAGACACTCTCAAGATCACTTCAGCATCACTCAGAGATCGTCCACAAATTATAGTCTCACCCACTGTACTTTATTATTGCTGCGCTTATATAAATATGTATGCTTGAGCATTGCTTACTGCTTATGCATATATATTCATTCTATTAGCTTTAATGTTAGTCACTTAATTTATCCGATGATTCATTCATTTCCCTATGTATAAATATATATATTTACAATTTAATCTTGTTCATGAACTCAGTCATTCGACTTGCGAACTCACATGATCGCTCGCTCACTCACTCACTCACTCATTTGCTCATCGGCATTAGCCTTTCATTCTTGTTTCATGTATCTATAATTTTGGTTATCTCTAAGTCGTGATGTAATAATACATATAATCGATACACTTCATATTCACCTTCTGATTAAAATACACCACTGAAGCATTATCGAATGACAATTATCAAGACGAACTATATATAAAGTTTTTTCACTTTTTTCTTTTCTTTTCTTTTTTGTTTCTCTTTTAGGTGGTGTATTATATATGTTTCCATTAATCAATAGTTTTGTTCATATTATTATGTATACCTATTATGGTTTAGCAGCAATTGGTTATTATCAATATTTATGGTGGAAAAATTATGTTACATTAATACAATTAATACAATTTTTATGGTTTATTATACATCAAGGACAATTTATATTATTCTATAATGAATGTAATTTTCCTAAAATATTTCCCATTGTTGTATGTTTATATTCTTTTTTATTTTTTATACTTTTTTAAATTTTTATATAAAAGCATATTGGAAAAAAGAACGTTTAGTTAAAAAATTAAAGGAAAATTGAATAAGAAAAATCAAAAAAAAATTTTGAGAAGAAAAACAAAAAACAAAAACCAAAAAAGAAAAAGAAATGAAACACGATCGATTATTAATCCTTTAAATAGAATGAAAATGGTAATATGATATTGCATAATGAAAGAAACAAATTGGATAGTTTAATAAAACCGAAAAAAATTAAAAAATTAAAAAATTTAAAAATTTAAAAAATTTAAAAAAACTAAAAAAATAAAAATTAAAAAATTAAAAAATTAAAGAAAATTTAAAAAAATAAAAATTAAAAAATTAAAAAAATTAAAAAATTGAAAAATTAAAAAATTAAAAATTGAAAAAATTAAAAATTAAAAATAATTAAATAATTAAAGAAAGAAAATAAAAGAGAAAAATAAATGAGAAAAACAATTAATTCATTTAATTATGAATTTAATAGACAATTGAACTTTACCATTATTTAATAAATAATTGTAATCATTATATTCTTCTTATTTATAAAGGATATATATAGTTTACTTTCATTATGAATTCATGTATTATTATTATTATTATTGTGATAATTTAAGTGGTTTGAGCCCCTATCAATATATTGATGTAATGATACTGTCAATTAGAGTATAATGATCTATTGATTGGATCAATGATGTATAAAATATATATTGAAGGAGTTTAGAGTCTTTATCAAATCTTTATGTTAACTAATCTTGCCTGTTAAGTTCTGAACATCAAACTCAGCTATTGTGTTATGAATCATGTATTTTCAAATATACTAGATTTATATACACTAGCCAAACAGATTACATCGTACCATATTATAGAAAAGATCATTTGTACAAGAAAGGGGTTTTTATGGATATTGTAGTAAATTTAATGGTTGAGATCATCAGTCAATTGAAGTTAGACTACCATGGAAAACCTGAAAGTGCTGGATGGCTGTTTCGTTCTATTTTCAAACTCTTCAACAGTGCGTATCCACGATTCCACCTCGCGAGATTCGAACAAGATTTAGCTATGTGGTTATAGTGAGAAG